ACTTCCGGCCAAAACGGAAGTAGTCAGAAAATGCATATTTTTACCGTTTCGACATGTTATTGGTTAATTTATGTAACCAAAAGCGTCCAACTAAATTTATCTTCCCTCAACATCACTTCCGGTCAAACCGGAAGTAGCCAGAAATAGCTTATTTTGCAGGTTTTGATACAAAATTGTAATTTTAAAGTCTCTGGAGATGTCGAAACTCATTCCTTTCTCTTGTTGACGTCACTTCCGGTCAAAACAGGACGGAAGACCTACCCGTTGCTTTGCAACGAGCTTTGCTCTAGTTATTATTCTTTTTTTTTCTTTTTTTTCTTTTGATTTTTGAATTTGGAAACGTCATAGTTCTTTGGTACGTTGCATGAAGAGTACATGTTCATGTAATTTGCTGTCACCTGAATGCTGAAAATCAGTAAAATAGCTTTACGAGAGAGAGAGAGAGAGAGAGAGAGAGAGAGAACACTGTATATTATTTGAAATTAAAATCGCTACAACCGGCCCATAGAAAACAATTCGAGTACGGAGGGGGGGGGGGGGGGCTCATCGAAATAAAACAATAAAAAAAAAACAAATATCGGGCGTTATTATCTTAATTTCATCTACTTGATCATGCGAGTTTAGAGTTATTGAATTCTTGTTTTGTTTGTTTTCTATCTTGTTTTTATTTATTTTTAAACATATAGAATTTTGTTTGTTAACATGCCGCTCCAGTATGTACATGTATGTAGTGGGGCGGGGTGGGGTGGGGTGGATCATGAACCAGTAAGGAACACAAACTATTCAAATGATCATTTACATGTATTTGAAAACAATTAAAAAAAATTATATTCTTATCAGTGGTCCAGTTATTAGTTTTTGTTTGTTTGTTTTGGTTTTTTGATTGTTGTTGTTGTTGTTTTTTTTAATGAGTCTTCCGTTAAACTCGCCTTATAAAACAATGACTTATAGCATGGAAGTAAATTATAAATGATCTGTAAATAGAAAATCAAGTTACACTGTATGAGAATTTTTAGTGATTATCACGACCTAAATATACATGTAATGGACGACAACCTAGCTTAAATATAATTGCTAAATATGAAAACTTACGTATACAGTATGTCTCAGCTATTTCATATATAAGATCATAATTCGGTTGTTTGTCTTTCAAACATTTAAATTACGATTTAGCAATTGCAATTACAATTGAATAATGTAAACAAATGAATTTGAAAGTTATTTTTAAATTAAGATACTCTTATCAATTTCACTCCATACGATACATCGAAAGTAAATTTAACATCTTTTCTTCTTTTTCTTTCGAGATATACTTAGCTTGTAAGTTAAAAAAAAATAAAAGCGATAATTCTACGTCGAATGTACGGTGAAATTCTTGAAAATTTATTAACGTTCTCCATATTGTCACTTACATGTACATGTTTCGATCACCATAAAAACAGTAATGATCGATTTCACTTCTGTATTTGGAATATACAAGGGGCGGGGCTTACTGGCGGCAAGATTAAAGCGGGGTCCGCTTCACGCATGAGTGCGTAAAGCGAACCCGGAAAGCGAACGCCGGGTTCGCTCTAGCGGACCCAGAGCTGACCCCGAGCGAACGCAGAGCGAACCCGAAGCGCACCCAGAGCTGTCCCAAATTTTCTGACAGCGGACCCGCAGCGGACCCCGAGCGTACCCGGGGTGCGCTTTGGGTTCGCTCTGGTGTTAGGTTGTGTCCGGCCGGTACTGTACGTCGCGAAACTCGCTATTATTTCTCGCACGCGAAGTTGGTTTACAGTAATTGGTAGTATTCTCTCAACTGCAAAGTGTAGCAATTACGTTATCTTATCACGTAGGTTGTCTTACATGTTTATTCCTTAAAGATATACCATTTAGTGTGGACAGTCCAAAGTGCTTTGGGGTCATCTTCATTTCTGAAGGTCTAAGAAGAAGAGATAATACCGACATTGAGTGGTCTATATCTTTCAATGAGCAATTAACATCTTTCGCAATATACAGTTAGAACAATAAAAAAAAAATTATCAGTGTCATGTCAACAAACGTACGATGCATGTACTTTGATATAAATTTATTGTCATATTTTTCTTATCTTTAAATAATATGCTTATTTATATACTTTAATTATGCAAGATTGTAATCTTTACCTATATATCTTCATGTTTTTAGTTTTTTAACACACTTTTGATTTGTTTTGTTTTAATTATTATAATGACTAAAATATCTTTAAATAATGTCATTTAACATTAAGAAAAGCCTAGCAAAGTGATCTAATTTTAGGGTGTTCTTAGTAATACCAAACTGTTTTAACTATCTGGAGTTAGAAAACTGCAATAATTTCAACTTTATATGATTTAATATAACTAATATTGTCACATGTATAGTTCTCTGTACAGTGGTTATTGGTTGCCTGATATCAGTTTTGATGTCATATTGATTTTTGCATGAAGGTTAAGTCTAGTGGATTTATACACGAGTATAAAACATTGTAAAACATGTGTTAGCAATATGTTAGTCTTGTGTTCAATTAAGAAATAAACAACGATAAAAAGTTCTCTGGGAAATGAACTTGGTTGGTCACGTGATCAAATCCTGTGAAGCCAGAAGATTTGATCACGTACCAACCAAGTTCATTTCCCAGTGAACTTTTTAACATTGTTGTTTATTACTTTTATTTACATTTGAGACGAATATCCTGAATAGAACTGTATATATTACACGAACGGCCCGCCGTACTGCTATGTTGTGACACGCAATGACCTAGAGGCTGTTTGGTCTTGAGAGTTCGCCTCGCTCCAACATTTGAATATTTACATTGATGTTCAGCATTCCAGTTCAGGAAATATCCGTTCATAATGAAAAACAATGATCGCTACTGGGAATAATCTTACTATTATTGTATGAGTTCTTTTTATATGAAGTCAAAAGCGGTGCTATCGTCTTCAGTTTACACACCTTCAAAGGAATTTCGGGTTAAAAAGGTAAGCGTGATTTTAGGCTAATTAGAAACATTCTTCACACCGAAAAAAGATCTAATAATCATTTGTTGAACGAAAAAAAATATATATGTTTCAATAATTTTATCTTTTTTCATCGCTTTAACAGCTTCGAAATTCCGAAACCACTGTCACCGTGACAGAAATATGTAGACAAGATAACGTCTCGCTGTGTGATTCGGTCACGCCATGACCTCCTAACCCCCTAATAAGTTCATACAGAATTAAACATATTTTCTCTTTTCATATGACGTATTTTCTCTCCGAGTTATTTCCCTTGGCCGCCATTTTGGTGGTCAACCTGCTAATTTTTCCTCTTTGTCTTACCAAATCTAAGAGGGTGTAGCAGAAATATTTGGGGGAAAATCTTTATAGAATAAAAATTATGAAATAAAGGAGGCTTTAAAAATGTATATTTTTTCAGAAAAACAATGCTCCTTACCCCACAATGGCCAGTATAAAAAGTTAAAGTTGATTGAATAATGAAGGAATATGAGCATGTTGACCTCCAATATGGCGGCCAACGGGAAATAACTCTTGCTAATTTGGGCCTACTGAAAACTATCTATAGGTTCATCTAAGAAAAATATTTGCAAATGTAAATAAAAGAATCTCACGATGGTTTGTCATTAATTTACATTTAATTTACATCATTTTTAGAAACTTTAAAAATTGGTACAAACAATATTATTTAATTTCTAACAGTTTAAATAATGGATAGATAATAAAAGATAAAAATTATGGATATCAGACAACCATTATTTGAAAGAAATAATTTAGAGAAAATACACGGATGTAGAAAGATAAGCGAGACTCTTTTTTTTTTAATACAGTAAATGCATCTGAGTGATTAATTGTAAGAAATATGACATTTTTTAAAGAATTGTTTTCCCTTCTTTAAAAGTAACTACTAAGTAACTATTCTACCAATATGCATATCTAATTTTTTTTTTTTTTAAATAATGCCCAAATGACTGCATCTCACCTCCATTCTCAATGAACGTGTAGTTTAGGACAGCGCCGCGAGAATTCCATCGGCATTGAAAGCAATTTGTTTACTTGCCTAGATAGCCAAGCGGTCTAGCACGCTGTTTCTGTACTGCTAAGAGACGGATGCTGTAGGTCGAGAGTTCAACCCCGGGTTGGGGCAGAAGTGGGTATCCTTATAAAAGCGATTTTCATTGTGCTTTCTATATTACTATTCCTTCACTTAGGGCAGTTATATTAGTTAAGAAGTCGTTGTAAAATGGATATATATATATATATATATATATATATATATATATATATATATATATATATATATAGATATATATATATAAAATTTACTTAAACATATATTTTTAAGCTAGCGGAGTGTTTGTACGTTGGGGGAGAAAGGATTGTCCTTCAGATAATGAGACAGAACTTGTCTATTCGGGTACGTAAAAGATCAGTACAATTTTATTTTATTTAATATTTAAGAAATGTAGTATCATTTTCAATTTTTTAGATGTAAATACGGGTTGGTCATGTTATCGAATCCCAGATTTGATCACCTGCCAACCCGTATTTACATTACATGCCAACCCGTATTTACATTCCGATAAAAGTTTGAAAATGATAGTCTTATTACTTATATTTAATTTGAGACTGATTTACAACGTATACTTTGTACTAGAGTTTAAAATCCATAAAATGATTTAAATTTTTCAAATCTTGGCGATATAAATTGAATGTGTTGAACTCGTATACCACTTACATGTATGACGTCACTGTAAAATTACCTCAATAGTTTATAAATGAACAATGAATTTAAGGACACATGACCAACCTGTTTTTACATAGAATCTAATATGCCTTGCTTCGATAGTACTAAAAAAGAGAAAACACTTGAAAATGTATAGATCATATAATAAATTTAACAGTAGCCCTGAGAGTGTATTAGTGCATTTATGTTTTGGAACTGTTAAATATTTTAATCCTGAACGTTTATTCTTTCTTTATCATTGTACTAAATAATTCATGTTAGTGTATATACACTGTTCAGGATTTGGTGGTGGCTCTTGGCCTGATCATAGTGGTGCTGCAGCTGAGTTTGTGTGTTTACCACCTGATCCTAATCTGACCACAAAATTCACCTCCTCTAAAGCATTCATGTATGGAGCAGAATACGACGTCCCTGGTTTTGGCCATCATAATGGGGATGACCTCCCTTGTGTGGTTTGTAGAAGGACGACACAATCCAGCGTGTTGATGATTCCAGGAAAGAACAACTGTTACTCAGGATGGACAGAGCAATATCATGGATACCTCGCAGCGGGACTTTTCAATTCTCCAGCTGCTACGCAATACATCTGTCTAGACGAACACCCTGATGTTCTTACTGCAGGAGAACGGAATGACAATGGAAAATGGTTCTACCCTGTCAAAGCGGTGTGTGGAGCACTGGCATGTCCCCCATACCACAACAATATGTACCTAACATGTGTTGTGTGCACAAAATAAACACATGCAGCAGAACATGCATCTGTAAATTTTATTTTTAATGAAATACTTGTAAAATCTTGAAATTTGTCGCTTTTCTGATTACAATTTCCTTTTCAAACATCGCATGAACTAAGAATAACAGACGTTAGAAAGCAAAATTTATGTCAAGGACAAATAATAAATACTAGCAAAGTCATCTTTGAAATGGACAGATTTATTTCGAAGACATGTGTATCATAAGACGTAGAAATTTTGAACAACAAAGTTAATAAACTTTCCATTTTTAATCATAGTTGTTTGTCAAGAGAAATGATACAGATTTACCTTATTCAATTGCAAAATAAAAAAAAACTCACAGTAAACTAAACCATTTTTAAAATACAGAATATATATTATATCAAATAAAAAACTACATGTATCATGTTCAGATAAAAAAAAAACTAGTGGATGTAATCAGAATGTATTGTGATATTGTATGAAAAGGGCTATTCGACCTTGACGACCCTCTACATCTCATAAATTCACAGCTGAACAATTTCATGAGGTCCAGAGTGTTCATAATTCAAATTAATGTGTAAAAGGTGAAGATTACGAACAATCGTGTAAAGAATATAAGTTGTGAACAGAGCAAAAAACACTGAACCATGAAAACACTAGAGGTGGGATCAAGTGCTTAAAAGAAGTAAGCATTCATTGTCGACCGGTCACTGTGGCCGTTAGCAATACGTATTGATGAGGAAGAGGGAGCGATCCATGGCAAAATTTTGAATAAAAACCATTTCCTAACTATTGATATGGAACATTTCAGACCCAGCGATAGGTTGTATTAGTATTGTTAACAAATTACATGCATTTGTTGGTACTTTGCCTCGATCTAAAACTTTACTCAGAGTTTAGGCTAAGCACTACATAAACACCATATGCAGGTGGATTTTGATATAAGGGAAGTTGTCTATAAAAAACATTTGCTGATGTCATCCCGTTTGTCAAATGGTATAGCAGTTGCTTTATCAGGAAAACATCCACACATGAAACAGATGTGGCAGATTTGGTGGTATTTTTTATTTCCAATTAATTGGGAAGTATCGAGTCGACTTATGAATGAGGGCCAGTGTAAATTGATAAAATTCCTTTCCTTTAACTAAATGTTGAGCTGGAAGTTAAAGCAAGAGTTTTTTCTTCTCATACAGAAGTTTTTTAATAAATTCTGCTTTCATATTAGTGTATATACAATCGACATCAAATAGATTGTTGGAAGAACTGAACAGTTTTGCACTGAAATCCAAGCATACAACTGCAGCATATTATTGTTGGCACGATTGAGAACCTTTCTGATAGTTTAATCTCATATTTTACTCTAGAAATCCCAAGCTCAAACATTTTGGCGTTATATAGTACTCAAAAAAGAATCACTATTCGATAATTTTGTAAACGAATTGCAACTTACTGAATTATCGATATTATTGCGCTGCCCTAGTGAACAGGGCATAAAACATGGCCCCCGGAAATTCAAGAGGTCGGATCAGTCTCTAGGAGGAGTAAGCATCCGCGGTCACACCCGCCATGAGCCCTATGTAATGATCATGTAGACAAAATACCAGTGTTACTTTGTCAAATAAAATATGGAGATAACGAGCAGTACTGAAGCACAAAGTCCATTTAAACAATATATCGGGAGCAGAGCACTCACGGACCTCCAAAACAGCAAATGTTGGATCAGGTGCTATGGTGGAGTGTGTATCCCCTGCGGACAGCACAGGACGAAAGACCATCTTTAAGCAATCGCTTAATGGTGGCTTAATGGTAGCTTAATGGTGGCTTATAGAAGTTAATTCCTTTAAGCCACCATTAAGCTGCAGCTTCTAGGTGCTTAATGTCCAAACTTCAATAAGCTACCATTAAGCCACCTTTAAGCTGCAGCTTAATGGTGACTTAATGTCCAAACTTAATTAAACCACCTTAACGCATCCAGTATCAAGTCTTTAAACTAACTTGTTAAGTTTGAAGTTGTTTCAGTATCATTTCCGCAAATACTTATTCAATTCATAATTTTTTTCTCGCTATTTCTAACATCTTTGTCAATGCGGTTAAACTCGGGAACTGAGAACAGCTTCATCAGATGCCTTAAAATTTTCGCTCCCTAAAATCAGTTTGTTCGAATACTTGTTTTAAAATTATTTTTATCCATAAATAAAAAATATATATTAATTTTTATAAAAAAAATCACATATTTTTCTTTTGTGTTTGGAGAGCCACGTTCCACTGCCGAATTCATAGGAAATGTAATTAGAGTCATTTTCTTCTGGAATATCTCTGTCTCTTAATTTTTCTTTGGGTAGAGAAAAGTTTAAGATATAAAAAAAAATATAGGTATAGATTATATTGCCAATCTTTGAATTAATTCATGAATAATTTGAATTAATTCGTGGTTAAGTGCCATTATTTTTCCCTTTCTTTTAAAATACTGCAGAAGAATTTATTTAAAATAATGCAGAAGTAAGAATTTATTTAAAATAATGCAGAAGTAAGAATTTATTTAAAATAATGCAGAAGTAAGAATTGATCAAAATATAGTCGGTCTTCACTGATTGTTATTTCAAAATCAATTTTCAGAAGAACAGCCGATCAGATTAAACAGGGTATCCGACCAGATTTATACACATTGAGAAGCGGGGTAAAATAATCAGTGTACAGTATATCGACTAGTTAGACAATAGACCTTAATTAGGGGTCCCCACCAGTCCCCGGTCAATTAACAGGAAACTATACACGGGAACGTACAGTGATAGATTTTGATGATCTATTTTTTACAAAACTTAAAATTTACGCAAGCATATAACAAATTAGAAATTATGATTGTACACAAAAAGACAATTATTTTGATACCCATAATGATATAAAAAGAATTAAAACTGAAGATATGTAACAAAAATATTTTATAACTTAATTGTTACGCAAAGATTGTCAAAAATCGTAAATATCCGCAGCATATTAAAAGAACTATAATCTGGTTTTTTTTTTTCCCCAATCGTTCTCTTTCGATGATATATTCCTTTTTAATAACAAAATTTTGTTATATCTGTGGAATTTCAATCTTTTCATGCTTATAAATCGGCGAATAACAGAACGAGGAATTCAGTTACTTAAAATCAAAAAGTTGTTTCACACCATCACACCGAAATCCGGTCCAAGGTTAAGAAATATTAACGTAATATAAAACTTTATCAAAATTTCTTTTTTAAAATATATACATATATATAAATATAATTATTCGTATTATTGATTAATAAATATAAACATCAGAAAAAAAATACATGTACATTCCAAACAAGTTTTGTTAAAAATAAAGGTTTTATATTTCACTTCAATTTCAACAGCTTCGATAGCTCAGTAATTAAAGCGTTCGCCCTCCAATCTAAAGGTCGTACGATCGAATCCTGTTGGGAGTGCTTCTTTTTTTCATTTATTTTTTTTTTTAATTTTCTTTCTTTTACATTATTTTCGCTGAATTAACAAATGTATAAACTCGACATTTATAATTTTTGTGAAGAAATCATTATAAAAATAATATTTAACCCGTAAAAGCAGTTTTATCAACTGCGTAATGGTGACTTAATGGTGGCTTAAAGGTGGTTTAATGGTAGCTTAATGGAGTTTGGACATTAAGCACCTATAAGTCTGGCTTAATGGTGGCTTAATGGTGACTTAATGATTGTCTAGAAGCTACCATTAAGCACCTATAAGCCACCATTAAGCCACCATTAAGCTACCTTTAAGCATCCATTAAGGGCTTTGAGATGGCTTAATGGTTACTTAATGGTGGTGTATTTATTACTTAAATGTAGCTTAAAGGTGCTTAATGGTGACTTAAAGACAACCATTAAACCATCATTAAGGACCTATAAGCCACCATTAAGCCAAACTTAAAGGAAGTGTTTCATCTTGTGCAGGTCACACCCGCTGTGTGCTCCTTGTCATGGTCGGGAAAAAGGATAAATTCGTAGACAATTCAGTATGTAAATAATGGCCTAACAATTAGGATTTAAAACGTCAGTCAGTATTTGACTTAATAATAGATTGAATTTGCTGACAATGTCATTGTATCGACCAAAAACCTGCGAAGTGATGACTTCAAGCGAGGCTATTGATATCCTTGTTTCATGAACTTGTTTATCATTAGCTTGCCTCCTTCCAGATATTGTTCATACGTAGATCATGCTCTCGCGTATAGAATGAACTGGGAAACAAAAATCCCATATGCAGGTGATAAGGGTATATTGCTACATAAGTTAGGGAAGTTGACGATTAAAAAATTGCAGTCGTCACGTTTATCATAAAGCTTTGCTGTAATGTTACATGTACCATTAAAGTCTTCTTGTAAATGTAGTAAGATATTCAATATGCAACAGATGTGTCAGACACAGCAAACTAAGTGTTTTATTCTTTTCATGAAGAATGTTTTGAATAAATTCTGTTCCATATGAATACAAAAAGGTCTCGTTAATATAAGGGGGCGCAATGGGTACTCGTGGGAATTCTAACAGAATTCCATCAGATTGATGGAAGACCTCATCTCCAAAAACTTCATAGATATTGTTAATCAGAAACTCAAGCATCTTTTATCTATCAACTTCAGAGTACTTGTGTGTACAATCAGAATTTTTAACAAAATAATTTTGCAAATGACCTATGACAAGGTATGTATATTTATGAGTTCCATTTTTATTGAAAAAAAACAGCTGTTTATGATGTTTTGACTTAAATTTTTCGTGGGGAATGGTTGTATAAAGTAAGTATTTAGTATTTAAAATAACTAGTAATTTAAAGGGGGACTAACGATGGTATGGAAAACGTCAGCCAAAATATGACCCAGTAAGTGTAGATTTGCAAACAAAGTCATTATAAAGGCCAAAGAATTTACGAAATTCTGATTTTAAAAAAGGTTGTTGAAATCTCTGTAACACAATTTTTCTATCAGTAGCTTGTCCCGAAAATAAGCCGTAGTCGTCATTGCAATTCCATGTACAG